ATCATTCAATTGTAGAATAGTGAGATGCAGAGAAAAAAAATACAAATCTGCAGTGTATAGTTATTTGCAAATGTAAAATCCTTACCAAAGCAGAATATAGAAACAATTGACATAAATCAGAGAAAATTCGAATTAAGTGTAGAAACAACTAAATTTTCTGAGTTAAACTAATAATGTTAGCATTCTATTATCAATTTTATAGTTGTATTACACTCAGTGAGATATTCGCACATTACTTCTCCATTTTGAATGACATTAAGAGAAAATTAGAAAAAAATTGGATGTCTGCCATGTTGAATCGCCATTTTGACCTCTTTATTTTCATGAACGCCAGCATATTTTTTTGGATTCAGCATACTTGAAATAGGTTAAAATCTATGCTGGACCAAATAATAATTATTTGCCGTTCGAAGTTATTTCTAGCCTTCTTTTTAAAAATCAGGACCAGACTATTGGGTAGTGTAGGTTCTAAATTGTCCAAATCATGACCCCCTGGCAGAAGTTTGGGTCACAATAGGTATTGCAAAGGTGAAAAAAAAAACTGGTGGCCCTTGGGTCTCTTGTTTTCACACTTAAAGAATTGGAGAGATTCATTTGATGGATTTTTATATCAGAAATTTAATATACTATGTATAATGTTTTCAGTACCAACCATTAGGCCAAAGAATTTTGCATTGGATGAAACACAATCATTTACACATGAAACAGCTACATTTGTTTGGGATGCAGTTCCATCTAATTCTACTGAGTTGAAAGGAAAGTTTGATGGATATGTAGTAAGTATTAGAAAAATAAAAGATATCATTTTTCCCCATTTTTAGCTCTACTGGTCAGAGACTAAAAGTACTTATGTGATAGTAAGATGTCCCTCCATCTAGCTGTCTGTCTGTCCTTCTGTTTGTAAACAATTTTTCAAAATCCTTCTCCTCCTACAGTTTTGGTCTGATTTCAATATAACTTGGCACACAAGTAGACTACACTAAGATACATAATTCTATCATCAGTTTTTGATTTAGATGAACGGTGTTGCCTTGGTTACTAAAAATAGAAATTTCTGTGAAATTCCTTGAAGAAACATTACTCCACCTTCAGTTTCTGATCTGAATTCAGTATAACTTGACACACAGGAAGACTACATTAAGATACATAATTAAGTGCATCAGTTTGATTTCCATGAATGGTGTTGCCATGTTTACTAAGAGAAAATTTCTGTGAGCTGCATTCCTGTCATATAGACTGTATGTAGTATGAAATACGACAGTAATATGAAATCAATGCAATAATTTCCAAGCGTATTTCTGGCAACAGCAAACATTATTTTCATAGACTACTACTTTATGTTTTTAGCTCACCTGAGCCGAAGGCTCAAGTGACTCACATTTTGTCCGGCGTCCGTCTGTCTAGCTGTCCGTCCAGCTGTCCGTCTGTCTGTCTGTGTTTCACTACTTTATGTTTCGACCAAACTTGCCACAAAGCATCCTTTCAGTTTGTGAAGGGCCATGCCCTTATTATTTAAGAATTAGTGAAAATTTGGTGGTATGTTTTAAAAATCTTCTTCTTAAGAACCACTGTGCCAGGAAAGTTGAAACTTATCATCCTTTCAAGTTTGTAAAGTGTGTGGCCGAAAAAGCAATACTCACATTTATAGAGAGAGAGAGACTCATACAACCCCTTCAAAGTTTTACATATATATAGGAAAATTCTTTTAAAATTTTCTTCTCAAAAACAGCAAAGCCATAATTGCTCATATTTATATGGAAGCATCCCCAGGTAGTGTAGATTCAAGTTTGTTCAAATCGTAACCCCCCGGGGGGGCGGGGGCCAAAATGGCCGACCAAAGTTTTATATGGAAATATATAGGAAAATTCTTTAAAAATCTTCTTCTCAAGAACAGCAGAGCCATAATTGATTATATGGAAGCATCCCCAGGTAATGTAGATTCAAGTTTGTTATTTGGCCGACCAAAAGTTTTACATAGAAATATATAGGAAAATTCTTTAAAAATCTTCTTCTCAAGAATAGCAAAGCCATAATTGCTCATATTTATATAAACCCATTTGAGTTTGCAATCAATTCGAAAATTCTTTAAAATCTTCTTCTCATAATTGTATACATGTAGAATTAAGTTTGTTCAAGTATGCACGAAATCCAAAGTTTTATTAGTGCATCACCTCAAGAATAGCAAAGCCATAATTGCTCATATTTATATCCTCAGGTGGTGTAGATTCAAGTTTGTTCAAATCATGACCCCCGGGGGTAGAGCGGGGCCAAACTTTTGGTGTAAACCAATTACTACTTTTTCCTAGCCACAAGCGATGTGGCCCATGCCTCTTGTTAAAATCCTTTCAGTGTAAGTAATTATTTAAGAAGGATTTTCTTTATTTTAATAAGGTTTTCTTTTCTTGTAAAGTGTGTAAAAAGCAATACCAAAGAGAGAGAGAGACTCATACAACCCCTTCTTACATATATATAGTCTGTAATTTTTTTTAAAAATTCTTCATTTTATTTAAGTTACGGAAGTCAAGATTATTCATTCTATAATTCTATTTAATTTCCACAACTTTGGTTCATATTAAACCCATTTGATGCAATCAATTCGTTCTCTGTATACATGTATGCTGTATGCACGAAATCCTTGTGCATCACCTGTCAATCAAAATCCCATGCCTAGGTGACTCTGAAAGTCTGTTTACGCGGAAAGAATTTATCTTGTGACTTGAAACATTCTTGTGGTCAGTTCTGAGTTCATACCTGTTTCAAAAATATATTCTTCGGTGGGCCAGGGGTGCCGTATGTTTATCACACCTTTCAAATTCTTCAAAGTGTATAACACCATCAACTGATATCAAGTAAAATTCTTCCAGGTTTCACTACAACAATGATTATAAACTTACATGTACTTTGTTAATTTATTTAGCCCTTTTCAGACACAAAAAAGCATATATCCCGTAGATTAAGATTTTTAAAAACATAACATAAATTTTCAGACTACTGATAAAGTTTTAACCAGCTGATTCGTATGGCTTTCTAGAAAGGGGGGGGGATAAAATCATTTCTAAAATCGCTAAATATCTATAATAGTATATGTTTTTGCAAAATGTTTTTTTTTCTTTTCATTTTTCATATGATACATGTATATCTCAGAATGAATTAATATTCGTACTGAAGTTAGTACATTTCATTTGACAAAAATTTGGCAGGTGATTTTTAGCTCTTCTGAGCCAAAGGCTCAAAGAGCTAATGCTATGGCCATTTGTGCAGTGTGCGTCGTGCGGTGTGCATTAACTTTTTAGAATATGGGCCATAATTCAAGAACCCCTTGGCCAATTATTGTCAAATTTGTCACAGGGTATCCTTGGCCTAAGGGCTACCATTTGTACTAAAATTAGGGGTGGGACCCTAAAACAAGAGGAGATAATCAACAAAAATAAAACCAAAAGTACTGGTTGCTAAAAAATCTTCTTCTCCAGAACCACCAGGCAGATTTTCACCAAACTTATATTCAAGGGTTGGGATATGTTGAAGATTAAAAATTGTTCAAGGCATGACCCTGGTAAAAAGGGCGTGGTCTCAAGGTCACTTCAAAGTTGACCAAAATTTACACTTATTAAAAACGTTGACATTTTGCTTACTATAAAGACTAGGATAATCAAATCTTGTAAGTTGATTCATCTTAAGCCTTCACACCATGTTAAATCAAAAGTAGGTCACAGTGACCTACTTTTTGAATTTTACGGGCTTTTGTTTTCAAATTGATTTTGGGCATATTTTGGACACTTTAAGGCCTATGATCATAAATCTTTGTCAGTTGGTGCATCTTGGGTCCACAAACAACATCAACTCAAAAGTAGGTCGCCGTGTCCTACTTTTTGAATTTTATGGCTAATCTTTTCTAAAATATTTAATCCCATTATTTCAGACACTAAGAGGTTTAGAATCACCAAATCTTGTAAGTTGATGCATCTAGAGGCCTTAAAACATATTTATCAAAAGTAGGTCACTGTGACCTACTTTTTGAACTTTGCAGGCATTTGTTTTTAAATTGTTTAAAAGGCATATTTTGAATACTATTAGACCTATGACCATCAAATTTTGTCAGTTGATGCATCGTTAGTCTTCAGAAAATGTCAACCAAAAAGTAGGTCACTGTGACCTACTTTTGACATTTTATGGCTAGATTTAAGTATCTCGGGTACTAATTGGCTAAGAATCATTATACCCCCGCAAACGAAGTTTGGGGGTATATAGGAATCACCTTGTCTGTCCGTCTGTCTGTGCAATCGTGTCCGGTCCATATCTTTCTTACAGAGGGACATTAGAATACTACTACTCCACACAAAGATTGCCCATGACCTAAGGGTGTGTCATGACCTTGATCCAAGGTCATTTAAGAAACTTCAAGGTCACTGGAAGAAAAATTTCATAATTCGTGTCCGGTCCATATCTTTCTTACGGATAAACTTGGTAGGTTCTCATTTCACACAAAGATTGCCCATGACCCAAGGGTGTGTCATGACCTTGAACCAAGGTCGTTTGGGGAAGTTCAAGGTCACTGGAAGAAAAATTTCATAATTCGTGTCCGGTCCATTGTGTCATTTCACACAAAGATTGCCCATGGCCCAAGGGTGGGTCATGACCTTGACCCAAGGTCGTTTGGGAAGTTCAAGGTCACTGGAAGAAAAATTTCATAATTCGTGTCCGGTCCATATCTTTCTTATGGATAAAGTTGGTAGGTTCTCCTTTCACACAAAGATTGCCCATGGCCCAAGGGTGTGTCATGACCTTGACCCAAGGTCATTTAAGCTTCAAGGTCACTGGAAGAAAAATTTCATAATTCGTGTCCGGTCCATATCTTTCTTATGGATAAACTTGGTAGGCTCTCATTTCACACAAAGATTGCCCATGGCCCAAGGGTGGGTCATGACCTTGACCCAAGGTCGTTTGGGGAAGTTTAAGGTCACTGGAAGAAAAATTTCATAATTCATGTCCGGTCCATATCTTTCTTATGGATAAAGTTGGTAGGTTCTCCTTTCACACAAAGATTGCCCATGGCCCAAGGGTGTGTCATGACCTTGACCCAAGGTCATTTATGGAACTTCAAGGTCACTGGAAGAAAAATTTCATAATTCGTGTCCGGTCCATTTCTTTCTTATGGATAAACTTGGTAGGCTCTCATTTCACACAAAGATTGCCCATGGCCCAAGGGTGTGTGTTGACCTTGACCCAAGGTCATTTGGGGAAGTTCAAGGTCACTGGAAGAAAAATTTCAGAATTCGTGTCCGGTCCATATCTTTCTTATGGATAAACTTGGTAGGCTCTCATTTCACACAAAGATTGCCCATGGCCCAAGGGTGGGTCCAAGGTCATTTGGGGAAGTTCAAGGTCACTGGAAGAAAAATTTCATAATTCGTGTCTGGTCCAGATAAAAGGTTCTTCTTTCACACAAAGATTGCCCATGGCCCAAGAGTGTGTCATGACCTTGACCCAAGGTCATTTGGGGAAGTTCAAGGTCACTGGAAGAAAAATTTCATAATTCGTGTCCTGGTCATATCTTTCTAATGCATAAACTTGGTAGGTTCTCATTTCACACAAAGATTGCCCATGACCCAAAGGTGTGTCATGACCTTGACCCAAGGTCATTTGGGGAAGTTCAAGGTCACTGGAAGAAAAATTTCATAATTCATGTTTGATACATATCTTTATAAGGAAAAATTTACTTCTGAAAAACACAGCGGGGGGTATTTTATCCCGTTTGGACAGTTCTAGTTGGAATTTG